CTCAGCAAACTGTCACAAGAACAGAAAACCAAACACCACATGTTCTCACTCATAGGTGGGAATTGAACAATGAGATCACTTGGACACAGGAAGGGGAACATCACACACCGGGTCTATTGTGGGGGAGGGGAGGGATAGCACTAGGAGATATATCTAATGTAAATGATGAGTTAATGGGTGCAGCACACCAACATGGCACATATATACATATGTAACAAACCTGCACGTTATGCACATGTACCCTAGAACTTAAGTTAAAAAAAAAAAAAATCATGTCCATCAAACTCAAAAAAAAAAAAAAAAAAAAAGAAAGAATGCCCAGTGCTGCCCTGCTCACAGTGGAAAAGCAGAACTCAGAAAGCAGGACAAGGAAGAACTCAGCCAGTGTGGATGGAGGGAGCATGTAGGCAAGCCTTAGCCAGAGGCAAACTGTCCATCTGGTGGTCCTGAGTTCCTGCAAACCTGCCACCATGCACTAAAGTGCCCAGGGGTCCTCAATCAACTTGGAAGGCAGTATAGGCCCCAAGTACTGCAATTTCTGGGCAGAATCCTGGTGCTGTGTGGGCTTGAAGCCCAGTGTACCCAGGATGCTACGACCTAGCGAGACGCCAGCTGGGGCAGCCAAAGGGAATGACTGCATCATCATGCTTCCCAACTCCAGGCAGAACGGCTCTCAGTTCAGGAGAGACTCCTTCCTTTTGCTTGAGAGGTGAGGGGAAGAGTAAAGAGACTTTGTCTCTTGCAACCTGTATACCAGTTCAGCCACAGCAGGACAGGGTACCAGGCAGAGTCCTGAGACTCCCATTTCAAGCCTTAGCTCCCCAATAACATTTCTAGACACAGTCTAGGCCAGAAAGGAACCCACTGCCTTGAATAGAAAGAGCCAGTCCTGGCAGGACTCATCACCTGCTGACTAATAAGCACTTGGGCCCTGAATAATCAGCAATCATACCCAGGCAGTACTTGCTGAGGAGCCTTGGGTGAGACTCAAGCTGTGCAAACTTCAGGTGTGACCCAGAAATAATCCCAGCTGGGATGGCTATGAGAAGCGGCGACTTCTGTTTGAGGGAAGGAAAGAGAAGTAAAGGGGACTATGTCTTACAGTTTGGGTACCAGCTCAGCCACAGTGAGGTACAGCAACAAGCACACTCTTGTGGTCCCCAGGTATAGGCCTAGGCTCTTGGACAGCATTTCTGGACCTGCCCTGGGCCAGAGGAGGCAGTGCCCTGAATGGTGCTGGCACAAGCCGAGGAGAACCCCACCGTGAGCTGATGGTGGTTGTGGTCATAGGGAGAGGCACCTTTGCATGTGGAAAGGGGAGAAAAGAGTGGGAATGAATTTGTATTGTGATTTGTGTCAGCTTAGTCACAGTAGAATAGAACAACAAGTAAACTTCATCATGACTAAGTGGGATTTATTCCAGGGATGCGAGATAGTTCAAAACACACAAATCAATCAATCTAATACATAATGTCAAAAGAATGAAGAGCAAAATCCAAATGATTATTTTAACAGATCTCAAAAAAAGGAATTTGATAAAATCAACATCCCTTCATGATAAAAACCCTCAAAAAACTGTGTATAAAAGGAATATACCTTTATCACATAAAAGCCAAATAAAGAACAAATCCCCAGAAGGTATCGTGCTGAATGGAGAAAAACTGAAAGCTTTTTCATAAGATCTGGAACAAGACAAGGATGCCCACTTTCACCACTGTTATTCAACATAGTACTAGAAGTCTAAGCTACAGCAATCAGACAAGAGAAAAAAGTAAAGGGCATCAATATAGGGAAAGAAAAGAAGTCAAATTATCATTGTTTGAAGATAATATGATCTTATAGTTGAAAAAACCTAAGGACTCCATCAAAAAAATTGTTAGAACTGATAAAAAATTCAGCGAAGTTGCAGGATACAAAACACAGAAAAATCACTAGCATTTCCATATGTCAACAATGAACAATCTGAAAAAGGAATAAAAAAAGTAATCCCATTTGCAAGAGCTACAAATAAAATAAAGCACTTAGATGCAACCTTAATTAAAGAAAGGAAAAGAATTCTACACTGAAAACTACAAGCATTGATACAATAAATTAAAGAGGACACACAAAAACAGAAAGATATCCCATGTTCATGGATTGGAAGAATCACATGGTTAAAATGTCTATACTACATAAGTAATCTACAGATTCAATGCAATCTCTATTCAAATATCAGCCCGGCATTCTTCATCAAATTAACATGGAACCACAAAAGTCAAAGCTATCCTGAATACAAATGGAAAAAAAAAAAAAAAAAAAAAAACCTGGAGGAATCACATTCTGACTTCAAATTAAACTACAGAGATACAGTAACCAAAACAGTATGGTACTAGCATAAAAGCAGACACATAGACCTATGGGATATTTTGTTTTCGATTCTTTGGTTTCATTTCTAATTGCAATAGTTTCTTTTTAAATGATAGAAAAATCTCAACATATATTTCAAATGTGAAAATATATCAAGTTTTTCATTGTTTCTGTAAATCTGGGTTCACAAAATTAACCACTAAGAGAATTTGCAGATGGTTTACTAAAAATAAGTCTGACTTAAAAGTAATTAGAATTTGGAGACACTTCAATTTATGAAAAAAGCAATCATGTGAATAGAAAACCAGAGTGTCCTATCTGATAAGACTGACGGAAGCCTATTGAAAATAATAGAGCTTCTCCACTAATTTGGTTGACCAATTCATTTCCTGAATGAGTAATCCACACCTTTGCCTGCCTTTACTTTAGCCAGAAAGGTCCTTCTTGCTGGCTCCTAAAATGAAAGTAGTGCCAATTCAGAAAGCTGCAATGGACTTGGTCCTCTGCATCGACGCTGCCATAGCTTTTTGGGATATGTCCTATAGGCCATCAAAAGGGCAGGAACCAGGAACTTTCCATATTTAGTGGATTAACTGCATTTTACTAAATATGTCATTTTCAAGCTTTTCTACAACTATACTTTGAATACACTACAGTTGTAAAAATGTGCATCTTAAGTTCTGATTTCTGATTGCATGTCTAGTCCCTAGGAATAGTGTAAACATTATTACTCTGTAATAATCTATAGCTTTCTACTTTTTTCCACGTCATGTTTCTATTTATGTGTTCTCCATTACTTGAATGTAATTCTGACCAATAGTACATACTTCAGATTCAGATCCACTTCAAAATATACTGAGTTTTCTGTGCATAAATGTCACTTTAATGACTATAATAGTTCATCTTATGAATGTACCATTAATAGCTCATTTCTTCAGTGTTCAACATTCAGACTACTTCTACTCTTTTGTTATAATAAATACTGTTTCCATATCATTTTCCATACATCTTCATTTGCATTTTATGCTACTTTTATAGTAGAATCCCAGCAGAAAGATTCAAAGATCATGAATACTTTCAGTTATTGAGATATATTGCCAAGCGCTTTCACCAGAAGTTGTAAAAGTTTTCAGCTGGGGAAACTGCTTATGATAAATATTGTTAAAAACCTGAGGATAAAATTTAACATATGGTGTGCACTTAACCTGTGAAGTACAAAGTGAGGGTGGGAGTGGTCTGGCTGGAGGAATGATTTTATCACTGCCATTGTTTAGAAATGCCCAAACATGGCATTGATAACAAAAAAGCAGACCCACTGTTAGTTGGTTTACTATTGCTATTAAATTCCCTTCAAACAACACCCTCTTGATAGCACACCTGAGGGCCACTGCTTTAATTACATAAATTTATATACATAAAATGAAAGAGCCATATATCAAGTTGTTGACACAAGCAATGTGTAGGTTATTTATTAAACAATATTTATTGTGCCTTCATGTGCCCACACCTTACATGAGGTGCTAGAGATAGAATGTTAAATAGAACAAAGTTCCTTGCCCTCTAAGAGGTAAAGTGGGGCTGGAATTGTGGCTGATTTTATATTCTCTTTTACATATTGGCAATTACACATTTTGCAAAAAATGAACAAATCATTTTTATTTTCAGAATAATAATAAATGCATTAATTACTAGAAGTTAAAACTGCTATGATGAAATCTATTACTACTCATTCTTTAATACTGCAAACTAGATTCATTATTCCCTCCACAAACCTTTGTTTTTTTCATACAGGGAGTCATTTGAAAGGCCAAAAGAGAGACAATATAAAAATTTAAATTGGTGAATGCTAGGTTGAAAAATCTAGGGGAAGTTTTCCATGTTCAAAATAGGCCTCCTATTCCCTCCCCTGATCCACTGGTCTCCCTGCAAAATACCCACCTCTCAAAAAGTGTCATGGAATGCCTCAGATACAACTAACTATAGATACTTTATAAATTTAATAGAATCACAATTACGAAGAGGATTTGAGGATGTTACAAACTGTGTCTGAGCCATTGTTAAGTCATCAGCTATATTCTTTCAATTACCGAATGTTTGAAGAACATGTGCTTTGTTAGAAACCTGGGGGAAGGGATGGGAAAATTCTCTGAGAAATTTCTGCCAAGAGGGAAGGAATAAACAGAAGTGATGCCTGCTCGGGTGGTGTCATATAAGATCTGGGAGTTAAAGCCTCACGAATACAGGGCATTTCCTTCATCATACAGAGGACATTATCATCCATTTATTTATATTACAAATATTTTTGGTATACTCAGGTAAGTTATAAACATAAAGTTATACTGGATATATAGAAGTGAATTAAGTATTTGAAGTTTTGTCCTCATGGCTCTTACAATTTAATAAGTCAATAAAATGAGAAAATAAAGTAAATAAATCCATATTTTCAAATTTGTTATAAAAGAACACGGTGGTCTGAGAGAGAAAGATAAGGAGCCCTTATGTAAGATGAAATGTTCACAGAAAGACCTTCTGGGAAAGAGACATTCCAGCTGAATCCCAGGGCAAAAAGGTGCTAGATATTATAGAGTGAAAGGAAAAACTTTCAGGTCAGGAAATGGCAAGGAAGTGAGGAGGCTATGACACAGGACTGGTAGTATGAGAAGCTCTGAGAGATCACCTGGCCATAATGAAGTGAACAAGTGGGAGAATGGTGTGAGAATGAAGTTGGAAAGGTGGGTGAAATTAAGTTATCAAGTAGAGAATGTCACAGAGACCCATAGACAGAAATATATGGTTGAGGCTTGGAGGATTTGGGAAAGGTTATAATGGGAGGGACTTTTGTAGAAGCAGGACCGTGACTTCGGAGAGGTACATATGAGAAGCCACCGTATTTTTTCCTTGGAAGAGAGAGGCCAGAGGTGAGTTCATGAGTCATAAATGTCACTATTTCTGAGGCATCTTCTGCAAATCCCTGGGTGGCAGGAATTGGAGGGAGAGGCTATCAAATGGTCGGCCTGTCCATAATGTCTAATGACTAAGCAATGTGATAGAGCATGGTTACCAAGTAAACCAGAGTGATCATCAGTCATTCACATCCTACTTCATCATGTAACCACTTTCTGGTGCAAGCTGCTAATCAAATGAAATTCAGTGTCTCTAATCTCTGATTGTGTCTACCATAACATCCACAGTATGTTTAAATTTGATATAAGTATAGAATGATAACCCATTTCTTTATTCCTTCTGAAGCCATCTTCCTCTCAATTTGAGATTTTTTGACATGGATAATGCAGGTCACAGAGAGAACCCTTCTTTTTCTTTGGAATAGACCAAGTATAGAGATGATAAATAACAAATAACTGAAATTCAGCTCAATCCTCTCGTGCCAAAAAGAAAATCTGATGATATAATGTTAACAACCATATGGAAAATCCACTTTATTGCTACTAATTCTGCTACTAATAAGATTAGTGCAGAAAGAACTGAATGAAGTCACTTCAATATTAATTGGTCTTTCAAAGCTTGAACAGAAATGGCTATTTTTAATTAATTTAGGAAGACTGAGGCACTGATTTTTAAAAATAGTGGCGTGAAAGAAAAAATAAATGCTAAGAGGCTTGAGAACATTATTAAACTCATTTATTATTCTTTATAAATATAGAGTAAGTTATAGAAATCTTACAAAATCAACAGAAGGAAAGATAATAGGCTATCATGAAATATGCAATTTATTTTTTAAATGGGAAAAGAACTATTGAATCATAAATGGAAGAACCATTAGGAAGTTATGTAAACGTTTCCCCTTTGAGTAATATAAATCCCATATCACCTAATGTCTATGCCTAATAGTTTTATTCATTATCATAAATTTCAAGTTTCATTCTTTCACTACATATTTCAAGGCATTTTATTTTCATTTTAAACAATTAAGCCAACTTTATAGTCTCATATCTTCAAAATACATTTTGCAGTTTGTTAAAAATAAATATAGGACTTACCTAACTTAATTAACAACATAGAAAATGGACTACTTGATTTGCTTTACTTCATTGTTATCTTTCACCTTTAGGAATTACAATTTTTAAGACTGGAAACAGAAAAGGCCATGGGTAGTCCAAAATTTCAGACATCCTGAATATTCTTTGATATAATCCTGCCATAGGGACATTGCATTAAAAATAAACGGGGAAAAATAATTGACTTCCATCCCTCCCTAGCTTCACCTCTTACCAAGAGAACAGGCTCATGACATAAGAACCAAATAGGTTCTAGAGTCAGACATACCTGGATTCAAATTCTTGTTCCTCCATTTATTAATACTATAATTATGTGCTTGAATAAATAAGTTATTAACCACTTGTGGGCCTCAGCTTTCCACTCTGGAAAACAGACACAAGATATTCCTCAGGAATATATACAGTGTATGTGACAGGATCTAATAGGATACTTAGCAGACATTAGCTGTTCCATAAATATTCATTTTGCTTTCCTTAAAAGTCAGTTGGCATACATTTTCAAAATCTGGCTGACTGAACCTGTGTCTCACAAATACCTTTTCAAATTCTAGAAATCTACTTCCCCAGAAGTTTGAGTCAAAACAGTGGAGTCATCCTGGTTATCTTGGAGAAGACATAAACTTTCCAAAGCCTATTTCCTTGTCAGTAAGATCAGACAGTACCACAGCCTATTTCGCTAGGTGACAGCAGAATTTCTCAGTCTCAGAATTATAGATATTTTGGACGAGATCGTTTTTTGTTGTAGGGGGTTGTCTTGATAATTCTATGATATTTAGCAGCATGACCAGCCTCTACTCAATAGATGGTATAAGTAGCTCCATCCCAAGTCATAACAATAATATGTAAACATCTCCAGACATTGCCCAATTTATTCTGAGGGAACAAACTAAACTCGTACAGGGAACTACTGGATTCAAATGTCCAGTAACTTGAAAATTATGTAGCATAGCACACCTAGAACACAGTAATTTTCAATAGATGTTTAGTTATTAATAGTTTTTACCCAGGTATAAAATTCAGGACTGCATTTCTGATTATGTTGTCTCTTCAATGTATACATAAGCATCAGTGACAGTAAAGAAACTGCTCAAAGAGAATACAGATATCTTTTTTTATAATGACCCCAAAGCCACAAAATAAAATGTGTTCAGATATAATTCTTCTGGGCAAATATTCATTTGGATTGTGGGTATAAGGCGATGCTGGCATCCTGCTCTGCCTGACCTCCTTCTAAGGAACCATCCTGTCTTTCCTAGTTTTTCCATGCTGTATCTGTAAAGCAGGTTACATCATGCTGCTCAGGAAGCAGAGGCTGAGCAATGGGAGTAAGCTCAACTCTGCTGAGTTATACCAGTTTGGCCCTCTCATGCCCAGGGCTGATGCCGCTTGTGCTGCTACCACTTCTTTCAAGTGTCTCTCCCTTTCTTTCCATGCCTTCTGCCAAATCTACCATGTGGCTGCATGTGTGCACATCTTCTGTGTATGCTTTCAAAAGTCTTAGGTGTCACAAATAAATGATAGCAAAATTTAGGATGGAATTAGTAGATTCTTGACTTTCTCTGAAAGTTAAGTAATATTATAAAAACAAGCTTTATATGTAGAAGTTGGTTGCATCCAGACTCCCCCATGTGGGCATTGGGGTGATATTAGTGAGCAAACATCAGTAATATCCCCAAAAGATCCCACTGACTTGCCACATAACGCTTGTTTCATAGACCACAGGACTTGCAAACTTCAGCAGCCACTCCTCCCAGTCCGTCAGGCCTTCATCTCTTTTCCAAATAAAGTATTGACTTTGAAACATATTTCATTCATTTGTTTCATTCATGCTCTGAGTGTTTCAGGCTACAGTGGCAATATTAGAAGTAGAAAAGAAACTCAGCCCCAAATCTAAATTTTTACTACCTAGTTATGATAATCTGATAATGACTCCAAAATTCAGTGCTACATATGTTCTAGAAATTTGTGAAGATATTATTTGGGAAGAGAGAGACTTTGCAGGAATTTATCTTCTAAATAAGTCAAGGGTCCTGAGGTTCTCCAGATCCTTCACCCTGGTACCATCTGGGCAACCCTAAACTGTGCTTCAAAAAGTGTCCTTGCTGAGACAGTGAGGAGATTGGAGCTTTACACCCAGAGGAGAAACTACTTGTGAAGATAAAAAATAAAAGTTGCTGTGTGCCTTACAAGCCAAGGAATGTCAGAACATGTTGGCAGTCCTGGAGCTCTGGAAGAGGCAGGGAAATTACTCTCCCAGCTGCCGGGTGGTCCTGGCCCTTTAGAGCCCATGCCAGCATCACCTTGATATTGGACTTTTAGCCCCAGACTGTGAGAGAATAAATTTCACTGACCAAGCCCACACACCAAGTTCAGAATTTTAACTAAAGTAATTAGGACATTATTAATATCTGGCCTTTTGAAAAGTTTTACAACAAGCGAAACCCTGTACCAATCAATGCACATATCACACCCCTTTAAAGGAAGAAAATGCTACACACTATAAGCCATCCTTCCTTCCTGATAACATCTAAGTATGATTATTGCAAGCCTATACATCACCATATCAATAAGGTATGCTTACATCAAAGCAAAAACATCAAAGTATCATCTAAAGTGGTGAGTTGTTTATAAAAGGTATATTTCTATAACCCTTCAAGAGGTTACTTACTACAACTCATACAATATTTTTGAGTTGCTCCTTGATACACAGAAGCTTTTAGTTTCTCTAACATTTAGTATATCACAGATTCCTTTATTTACTCTGCTATGGATATGGATTACAAAATGTTTCTCATTCTCATTATGATGAAGTACTGCTATACTTTAAGTTGTGTCCCCCCACAGTCATGTCTTAAATGGGCCCTTGGAGTGGCAATGTTGGCTGGTGGAAGTGCTGAGGGTGATTAGGAGGGCATTAAGAGGAATTAATGCACCAGTAACAATGAACTCAACGAGAAACCAAATCATAGATGAACTTCCAAAATTCACAATTGCTTCAAAAGAGAATAAAATACCTAGGAATCCAACTTACAAGGGATATGAAGGACCTCTTCAAGGAGAACTACAAACCACTGCTCAGTGAAATAAAAGGGAGGCACAAACAAATGGAAAGGCATACCATGCTCATGGATAGAAAGAATCAATATCGTGAAAATGGCCATACTGCCCAAGGTTGTTGCCTAGATTCAATGCCATCATCAGCTCTGTGAGTTTCTTTACAGTGGAAAAAACTACTTTAAAGTGCATGGAACCAAAAAGAGCCCACATCTCCGAACCAATCCTAAGTCAAAGAACAAGCTGGAGGCATCACGCTACCTGACTTCAGAGAGAAAGCTTATGCCACTGCAAGGCTACAGTAGCAAAACGTAGCATAATTTTGGTACCAAAACAGAGATATAGACCAATGGAAGGAACAGAATGAGCCCTCGAAATAATACCCACACATCTACTGTGCTCAAGTCTTTGGCAAACCTGAGAGAGAGCAAAAGAAACTGGGGAAGATTCCCTATTTAATAAATGGTGCTGCTGGAAAATTGCTTTAACCATAAGTAGGCAAAACTGGGATCATTCCTTACTCTCCTTATATACATTAATTCAGATGGATTAGAGACTTAAATGTTGAGCTAATACCATAAAGCCCTAGAGAAAACCTAGGTAGTACCATTCAGGACATAGGCATGGGCCAAGACTTCATGTCTAAAACACCTAAAGCAACA